TGGAGAAAAGGGGCCCAGATTGACCCAAATCTTGGAGAAAAGGGGCCCAGATTGACCCAAATCTTGGAGAAAAGGGGGTTGTTTTCCCAGTGTCTCCTGGGATCTGCACAGCCGGTGCCTGGCTGGGTCCTGGCATCTCCAGTGAAGACTTGAGCATGGTTTTCCCTCGAGTGTGGTTTTCCTGTSAGTGTGGCAGAGCTGGCAGAGGAGCAGGAATGGGGGAGGAACARCCCAGTGTCCCCTGGGGGTGTGGGGGCTGTGCTGGGGTGCTGATCCTGYGCTGTCCCCACAGAACTCCACCCTCACCATCGAGGAGTTTCACGCCAAGCTCCAAGAGGCCACCAACTTCCCGCTGCGACCCTTCGTCATCCCCTTCCTCAAGGTGGGTGCCCCAGCCTGGCTGTGGCGGGATTCATGGCACAATTGCAGCACAGGGCATTTGGGGCTGGCTTTGGGGTCAGGGCTGGCTTTGGGGTCAGGRCTGGCAGCTGCCTGTGGGTCTGCCCGCGTCCCCCTGGGCACATATCCCCCACACATGTGGAGCCACACAGGGACAGGGCTGGCTGCAATAAAGCAAGGGGTTGGCCCAGCTGGTTGCCATTTGCAATTCATTAAAAATTCCCTCTTTTTTTTTTTYCTTTGCCTGTTAATTTYGYGCTGACTCTGCAGTGTCCCCCCTCCCCRCTCCAGAGGGATTTACCCGGCGCTGGCACGCCTGGCAGCACCGGTGCTGCTGGCAGATGTTCAAGCTCGATGTCCCCTGTCCCTCGTTAGCAAAGGAGTAATTAAAAAGTGCAAAAATAGCTCCTTTTCCACCTCTGCAAGCCATCCCCCCTGGAGCAGGGGTCCATGGAGCAGAGGTCGGAGCTCGCTGCTGGAATCTGCCGGAGCAGTTTGCTCCAGGCTGAGCCAGGCAGAGCCCCCTCCCCTCCTGCCCCRTTTGCAGGGCTTTTGGGATCCATGGGAGTGGGGAAAGGTGAACCCCAGGCCCCGGCAGGCGCTGGTGGCCCTGTGGCTCCAGGCAGGCTGGGATCCATCGCCGCTGTCCCGGTGCCAAGAGCGCGCCGGCCGCCCTGGCACCCCGCTCCCAGCTGTTCCCACCGCCCGCTCCAGATGTTTCTCATTATCCTAACTGCAACCAGCCGGGCTCGGCGTGCTTCCCAGACTGGGGAGCGCTGTTTTGGTGGGATTGCTCCCCCCCGGCAGGAGGAGGGAGGGTCCGGCCCCGCTCACCGCAACTGCAGCTCCGGCTCGGGCGCTAACGCGTCCCACAGATGGGATTTGGCCGCGGCTCAGMAAAATTCAGGGCTGGCAGCCAGAGTGCCGGGCAAAAGGGGGTTCTGCTGCTTAATTCCTGCTGCTCCTGGGGTTGCAGTGCCTTGGTGGGTGGGTGGGGGGGAGTTCACAGCTGATCCTCACAGCTGTGGGTCTKGGGGCTCCCAGAGATGCAGTCCCCAAGGAGCAGGAGCAGTTGTGGGGACAGGGTGGCCAAGGTGGCTGATCTCACCSAGGGGACGATGCTCTGCAGCCCCTGCCGGGGTGCAGGAGGGCTGTGTTGAAGCTGTGACTGAACCCTGTGGGGTGCCACACGTGTGTCCCCTAAAGCCCAGCTGGCTCCTGAGCACGCTGCTGGCAGCCCAAGGTTGTCCCTTGGGTTGGGGAGCAGGACCCCAAAGGGACGGCAGCTGCCTGCCTCACACCCCCTGCCCGTGGCGAGCTGGGGGCACAGCTGGGCTGCTCTGGGGGGGCTGCAGGGCCGTGGACTGGATTGTCACCCCCCCTCGCAGGCCAACCTGCCCCTGCTGCAGCGGGAGCTGCTGCACTGCGCCCGCATGGCCAAGCAGACCCCGGCCCAGTACCTGGCCCAGCACGAGCAGCTGCTGCTGGACGCCAACGCCTCCTCTCCCATCGACTCCTCCGAGCTGCTCCTGGAGGTGGGCGAGAGCGGCAAGAGGAGGACGCCAGACAGGTGCCAGCCGGGCCGGGGCGGGTGGGATTTTTCAGGGATCCATCCCCGAAAAGGGGAGGTGGTTCCCGGGGACCCAGTGGGGACCAAGCTCCTCTTGTCCGGCCAGGACCAAAGAGAACGGTTTGGACCGAGAACCCCTGCACCCCGAGCACCTCAGCAAGCGGCCGTGCACCATGAGCCCGGCGCAGCGCTACAGCCCCAGCAACGGGCTGAGCCACGCTCCCAACGGGCTGGGGCACCCCACCRCCGGCCCCCCCCTGCCCCAGCACTACCGCCTGGAGGACATGGCCATGGCACACCACTACCGGGACACCTACCGGCACCCCGAGCCCCGCGAGCGCCAGCGCCCCGCCGGTGAGCCCTGCTGACCCTGTGCCCGTGGGGAACGGGGGGCTGGGACCCCCTGAAGGGAGAGGGGTCCCGCGCGGGGATGACCCTGCGCCGTTCTTGCCTTGCAGCCGTGCATGGGACGCGGCAGGAGGAGGTGATCGACCACCGGCTCACGGACCGGGAGTGGGCGGAGGAGTGGAAACACCTCAACAATGTACGTGGGGTCCCCATCCTGTCCCGTGTGCGTGTCTCTCCGCTCTGCCCTCCGTCCCCACCGTGTCCCTCGCAGGGCTTTTGTCCCAAGCATCCTCCACAGCCAGAGCAGCAGCTGGAGCTGGCACAGCCTGGCATAGCCCAAATCCCCCTGCCCATCGCCGGGCACCGGACCCCCTGGCTGCTTTCAGCAGAGCCCCCTCCCCACCCTCKCTGTCRCCCTCRCAGCTSCTGAACTGCATCATGGACATGGTGGAGAAGACGCGGCGGTCGCTGACGGTGCTGCGGCGGTGCCAGGAGGCCGATCGCGAGGAGCTCAACCACTGGATCCGGCGCTACAGCGAYGCCGAGGACATGAAGAAAGGCAGCCCCCCTTCCGCACGCCCCCACAACTCCTCCGCCGCCGCCGAGGCTCCCCAGTTAGGTACTGCCCGCTGGGGCCATGGGCTGTGTGTGGGGGCTGAGCCCCTCTCTGGGGCTCCAGGGCTCCGGGGCGTTCCGAGGGGACGGTGTCTCCTAAAGGTGTCCCCTCTCTCCTTGGCAGACGCTCACCGGGAATTCACACCGCGGCCGCTCTCCGGGTACATGCCTGAGGAGATCTGGAGGAAGGCTGGTGAGTGTGGGGTGGGCACCAGCCCCCAGTGGGGTGCTGAGCCAAAAGGGGCTCTGCCCCAGCTCTCCTCATTGGGGTGCCCGTGTTGCTGGAGGGATTTGGGGTGGTTTTGCGGGAATGGGGGATGCTGAGGCACTGGCACATCCCGGCCACGCTCGGCTGCTGCCTTCCAGAAGAAGCCGTGAACGAGGTGAAGCGCCAGGCCATGTCCGAGCTGCAGAAGGCCGTGTCGGATGCCGAGCGGAAAGCCCACGAGCTGATCACRACGGAGCGGGCCAAGATGGAGCGGGCCCTGGCTGAGGCCAAGCGCCAGGCGTCCGAGGATGCCCTCACTGTCATCAATCAGCAGGAGGACTCGAGCGAGGTGGGGACTGGGGGGGGAAGGGCTGGTGGCAGTGCCCAGTTTGGGGTGCTAGAGGGCCCAGGGTGGGATGATGGAATGCATGGCTTGGAACGATGGAGTGCCTGTTTAGGATGATGGAGTGCATGGTTTGAGTTGCTGCAATGCCCGTTTGGGATGCTGGAGGGCCCGTTTGGGATGATGGAGTGCCCAGTTTGGGATGATGGAGTGAGTAGTTTGGGATGATGGAGGGCTCAGTCTGGGACAATGCAGTGCATGGTTTGGGATGCTGGAGTGCCCATTTGGGATGCTGGAATGCCTGTTTGGGATGATGGAATGCATGGTTTGGGATGATGGAGTGAGTGGTTTGGGACAATGGAGTGCCCATTTGGGATGATGGAATGCACAGTTTGGGATGATGGAATAAGTGGTTTGGGATGATGGAGTGCCCAGTCTGGGAAAATGCAGTGCATGGTTTGGGATGTTGGAGTGCCCATTTGGGATGCTGAAGGGACTGTTTGGGGTGACGGAGGGCCCATTTGGGATGACGGAATGAATGGTTTGGAATGCTGGAGTGCCCATTTGGGATGATGGAATGCATGGTTTGGGACACTGCAGGGCCCATTTGGGATACAGCAGTGCCCGTTTGGGATGCTGGAGGCCCCATTTGGGACGCTGGAGCGCCCGGTCCCGGCTTGGGGTGCACGCCCTGCAGCTCAGGCTGTTCTCCCCGTTGCTCCCCGCAGAGCTGCTGGAACTGCGGGCGGAAGGCGAGCGAGACGTGCAGCGGCTGCAACACCGCGCGCTACTGCGGCTCCTTCTGCCAGCACAAGGATTGGGAGAAGCACCACCACGTCTGCGGGCAGACTCTGCAGGGGCTGCCGGGCCCCGCCGCCCCCGGGCCGGGCCAGCCCGACGGGGTGCCCGCCATGGCCAGCAGCCCCAGCGAGGCGGGCTCGGTGGCCGCGTCCCGCGCCGGCACTCCGGCCACTCCGGCCCCGCTGGACAGCGCGTCCCGCTGACCGCCGCCGAGAGCCACGGACTGCACCCSGTGCAATTTCCTCAGCTACCTGACTCGTGTGACCTCCGAAACGACCTCTCTAGCTCTCACAAATAATCCTCACGGATCCTCAAACTGGGCTTTAAGTGGAGTTAAGGCAAATACCGGTCTCTGTTCTTTCTTCAGTCTTTGTTTTGGCTGTTTTTTTTTTTTTTTTTTAAATCCCAACAAACCAAAGCAGTG